ATTTTCATATTTTATTAATAATATATTTATAATACTTTTATATATACGGGGCCTTTCTTTTATTTTATATATAATATATACATATATATTCATTAATTAAAATTATGTATATGACACTGCTTTACAATATCGAAAATATGCAAAACTTTAAAAACCTTTCTTTTATTTATTTTTTTTTTTTTCAAAATTCGCTAGACATTTGATAAAAATACTTTACCATAAGAATACCTTAAAAGGTATACTACTAATATACCAAAGTACCTAAAAAAATCCGTTCAGACACAAAAATAATGTGTCTCCTTGTTAGTTCAAAATTATTTCATTTTCAAAAACCTTTTATTTGTAATACGTTTAATTTTTGTTAAAGATAACAGACTGTATAAACGTAGATATATATATATATTAGTCATAATGGAGGAAGCGTTAAGGGAAAGGGCAGTGGCGGTGGTAGATAGTAGAGAGTTAGGAGGAAAGGGTAAAGAAATTTCTAGTATAATACAGATTATGATTTAAACAAGGTGTACCATTAGCTTAATTAAACAAACGTATCTTGTAATCATCGAATTAATTCTCATTACACAATACCCATGCTCGATAACAATGGCTTTTATTCGTGTGAATGGTTAAAGAAGTTGCTTGTTTATACGGCTAATTAGACATTGGTTATTATTACCATTTCTCTCTTTCTCTCTTTCTCTCTCTCTCTCTCTGTCTTTCTCTAATTCTCTGTTTCATCGAATTATTCAGAATTATACTTTGTTTTTTAGAAATGTGATTATGATCGAAAATAAACAAATTTCTCTTATTTAAACGAAACGTAATATACTTACAATATACCTGCACAATTTGTTATTTTATTGTTTACCAATTAAACGTGATACTCGATTTTGATTGAAAACAAAATAAAAGTAGGCTACCGAAAATCATATTAATATTACAATTTTCCATTTTCGTCTACTCAAAAGGAAATTACACATTGGTTGGTATATTTGGAAAATGTTAATTAACTTATGGGTAGAGAAATGTCGAATCAAATCAGAGTAAGAGGAGGATGTGGAGTTGGGATTGAAGTGAAATAAAATTTGATAAAAAGTTCGTAGATGAACGAATTAATATAGAAATGATGGAATTCTCTTTAGAAATTTCATTATAGTTTAATATTGGAGAAAAGGAACACTATATCTACTACTACATCATATACCATAAATCAACACATTCATATGACACATACACACATATACATACATATATATATATTTACGTTTATATACATTTATAGACATTTACAATAGTCCGACTCTAGATATAACTGTCTGAAAGTCAATATACCCTAACATTGTAGTAGTTGTGTGTATTATGTATCTTCATATATTGACTTTCATACAGTGTGACTGCTTTTAGTATGACCAGTAACATTCGTGCCCAGCAACACGACGAACGCGCTTACCTTAATTTCGGTCTTAACTTAAAAAGATATTTTTCTTCTTCAAAAGGAAAATCTAAAACCTTTCAAGTTTATTTCACCCTTCTTCGATATTACACGAACCTCTTCATCTTCTACTTCTTTTACTATTACTACTACTACTACTACTACTATCAACGTACGTAAAGACGATTTATTAAATACATTTTTCGATAAAAAAAAAATTACAAGAATATTTATTTTCCTACTCATTAATTTACATGAAATAAATTCATCGACGTTTATGATTAAACGAAAGCTTTTGAAAATATATAACTTCAATGTTTAACATTGTTCTTCACAGAATTTTCAGGATGTTTGTTTTAATATCGAGAGAGAGAGAGAGAGAGAGAGAGAGAGAGAGAGATATAATAGAGACTGGGTATCAAATATCATTATAACTTTCAATATAAAATTGCATTCAAGTTGCAATATTGTTAACATCGATAAAAAGAGAGAGAGAGAGAGAGAGATGCAATATATAAAAAATAAAATAAAATAAAAATATTTATAAAACAAAACCAATTCTTGTTTTATTTTATTTTTATTTTTTTTATTATTTTTTATTTGTTATAACAAGGAAAGAAAATAAATGAAAGAGAATATGAGAATGAATTTAAATCATTGAAAAATTGGACATTTTATTGAAAACGGTTATATTACAATACTACGCGAAGGTACACATACACACACAAATATATACACAAAGAACAGCACACATCGATCTATCCGTTTGGTTTCATGCTAATACGAGTCTGAATAGTTTATCAGGAGGCATCGATCCGTTGTTAATACTGACTGTAGCTATTATGTGCATTAATATATATCTTTACATATATACATCCATATATATATATATATATGTATATACATATTTTGTAACATTGATTCAAAGGTACGTTTCGAAATATTTACACATTTTTTTGATTTGGATTTAAATCAACTCTCAAATATCAAATAAAATCATTTGAATAAATGTTAATTATGTTTAATTGCACATATTCGTTTTATTATTATTATTAAATGGTAAAAGAAAATATTATTTACAATAATTTATTTGTCATTCGTTAATTTACTAACTGATGATCATTTGTATTATTCGTATCGCGTTTGATATTAAAATTGAGATGAAATAATTATCATAGAGAATGTTGAAAGTTCATTGATTATCAAACTTTATTTTACCACTTGTCCCATACCTAATTGTAAGCATTTAAATAATTAATAATTAATAAACATTTATGTTATTTGATATTAAAATTTATATGAAATAATTATCATAGAGAATGTTGAAAGTTCATTGATTATCAAACTTTATTTTACCACTTGTCTCATACCTAATTGTAAGCATTTATGTTATACTACTAGTGAGACCCATATACGGGTCATCTATGTAAACCCATCAACCCATATTGCGATCGTAAAGTTATACAGTAACTCATAGTCAAATTGTCCCCTTTCAAAATCGAATTGTTTCTTTGTTTCCTTTCGTGTAGGGTAAACGTGTTCCTCCTACGTTGATGATAATAACAGTTTTGAGAGTTGATTAGTTCATTTAAAAAATTAAAAGTACCTATTATAGGTTACTTGGTTTCATTTAAAAGCAATCTAATTAAAGACATTAAATTTTACATTTGATACTCGGCTAACTAACCAATTTATTGATTTTTCGGGATTTTTTTAATTTTATTTTATTTTTCTAGTTAAACTAGGACGACATAAAATAATTGACGATTAATTTTATGTTTAGATCGAAAGACCAATCATGTCTTTGGATTTATATTATTTACCAGTTAGTTCTCCCTGTCGTGCTGTTTTATTGACCATCGAAGCGCTAGGTTTGTCGGTTAATTTAAAGGAAATCGATTTGTTCGGTGGAGAACACCTACAACCAGAATACGAACAGGTCAGTAATTAAATACCACATTTATTAGAATATTAATGGGGAATAATATAACATGCATATTGGAATTATTTAGGTGGTAACTTTTTAAAAGACATCACTGTGATCTAATTTGATCTATACATTTAATTAGTTTTACAAATTTATGTTTTCATTTCTAAATTGTAGAATTGAAAGATAATATCTAATTCGTTTCCATTCATTATCGAAATGATCTTTAGAATTTTATAGTTGAGACGTTTATTTTGAAAGTGGCCTAATATTTATGTTCAAATCGACATATTGAAGGGTTTGCATTTCAATGCAGTTAAAAATATACGTACAAAATACTAATGAGTTATATTACTTAAGTATATCTAAAGGTGTTACATTTATGGTTCCTATTAAAATAGTGGCAATTATTAAGTGAATAATATGCGTTTTCTAGCCACGAATGGAGTTAGGCCACTTTCAAAATAAACGGTTTAATTATTTTATAGTTTTAATAGTATTTTATAATTTTATAATTTATAATATTATTAATATAATTATATATATAATATAATAATAATATATGTAACACGAGCGCCTCTATACCAAACTTATTAGGCATTCGTGAAATGAATTGTTCGGTGAGCATTAGATAGCTCAATTGGTTAAAGAGCAGTCGCCCGGAAAACGAAAGACAGTAATCCGTGGTTCGAATCTCGGTCAATCAGTTTTCAACGATCCAATTTTTTTCACACGAATCTCATATATATTATATTAATTTATAATAATATATATATAAAATATATATTAATTATACATATATATAAATATATTATAAATATTATGATATATTATTATTATATATATTATACAAAAAAATATATATTAATTAAATATATTAAATAATATATTATATAATATATACGAAAATATAAGCAATAATAAAATATTTATAATATTATTTAATATATTTATATATTATTAAATATATTGTAATATAAAAAATAAATAAATTATAATATTTAATTATAATATATACTATTAATATATATGTAAATATTAATTTAAAAAATATAAATAATATTTCTATTTAAATATAAATATATAAATTATATACTACAAAATTAATATATATATTATTTTACAGCTTAATCCACAAAAGACTATACCATTTCTCGTAGACGGTGATTACAAATTATCAGAAAGGTTTTATAACACGTTTTATTAATTAAACTAAAAATGAATATTAATAATGTAAGATATATAAAATAAAAAAATAGGTAAGATTAATTTGTTATTATTTTCAGTCGTGCAATAATGTGTTATTTGGTTGACGAGTATGGTAAAAATGGAAGACTTTATCCGCAAAATCCTTCATTGCGTGCATTAGTTAATCAAAGATTGTACTTCGACATTGGATCGATTTACAAACATTTCAGTTCTTATTACGTACGTAAAAAAAAAGAAAAAAAGAACAATTTTATAAATGAAGAAGAAAGGAAAATATATTTGAAATTCCATTATCGAATTTTCTTTTATTCCCCCATCGATGAAAAGGGCTCGCTCGCCTCTCGAGATGAAAAAAAAAAGAAAAGAAAGAAAGTAAAAGATCGAACATATAATTAAGTTTCACATTGTCAAGATCCCCATATAACCCCTTTTTTCCCCATATTCATGATAATAGTATGAGCCTTGGGTTGGCATAGAGAACAAAAATTGAAGCACCCCAGCCTATTTTTGTTTTTAATAAATCGTAGTACTCCATGTTCGTGTGAGTTGTTTTAAGAAACTTTTCTTAAAAACGGGAGTTAGTTTCCTTTTTGTTTCTATGTACTCTTGTAATATAAAATGCTTCAGGGGTTCATGTGGTGGTTGTGTTATGAAGTTTTGTATTATTTTTTCTTTTTCTTCTTCTTCTTCTTCTTCTTCTTTTTAAAAAAAAAAGATAACTTTTGTTGCCGTTTTAATTTTAGTATCCAGTGGTGTTTTACGGTGCGGAAACTTACGACGATGAACAATATGAAAATTTAAGAGGATCATTCGATCAATTGGATATATTTCTCGATGGTCAAGATTATGTTGCTGGTCGTAGTTTAACCATTGCCGATTTAGCATTGATATCGACCGTGTCTACTGCTGAGGTTTACTTTTGATTAATATAATCATCTATCTAGAGTAATAATAATAAAAATTGAATAATAAAACAACATATTATTTAATTCAATTAATTTTTTATTATTTATATATGTATTTAAGGAAATTTTCTAAACTAATTTTTAATTAATTTTAATTATTTATATATGTGTTTAATAAAATTTTATAGACATTAGGATTCGACGTTTTCAAATATAAATACGTTTCCAAGTGGATGGACAAAATCAAGAGTTCGGCTCCTGGTTATCGAAAAGCTAACGGTGAGGGTCTGGAAATATTAAAAAAGTTTGTGGCTGATAGGATGTCTCAGTAAATTTTAATCCTATTATGGTTACGTAGTCTACAAGGAAATATATTTTCTCTCTCTTTCTCTCTCTTTTTCTCTTTATTTTTCTCTTTATCATTGTACTTTCTCATCTAACTTTAGTTCGTTGATTCATATACTATTTATTAGCTTCGTCTAAAGATTACATTATTCTGTCGAATAAAAAATGAACTTTTCTAATTTTCATATAAATAATTTATATTTTTAATGATGAACCTATTATTCCCATAGATATTTAGTAGTTATTGTTTCATCAAGATTTTTTTTATTTATTTTAATTAATGTATTTTAAATTCAATATTATGTATATTATATAATTTATAATATATAATTTTAATTTATTATATTTATTTAACTTTATTTATTATATATAATACATTTTAAAAAAATATATAATTATATAAATTATATAATAATATTAAATATACAATTTAATATTATATATTAAATAATATAAATAATATATATACTAAATAATATTAAATTAAATATATAAAATTTAATTATAAATATATATTAATTATTATTTAATATATTTAATCAGGGAATTTTATTTATTTTAATTTTTTTTTTTTAAAGTATCATATATTAAATATTAAATATCATCTAATTTGTAAAATATAATTATTATTTAATATAATATTTAATTTACAATATATTATGTACATAATATAAAATAATATATATTATATTTAATTATATAAATTGAAATATTTGTGAATAAAAATCCGTAAATCGTGAATATAAAAAAACATGGAATATCTTGTCTGAAGGAAAAAAAAACAAGATAATGAATATTATCAAGACATGTTTTGTTTGTTAAGATCTTGTTAAGATCGACTATGATAGTATTCGATAGGACTTGTGCGTCATCGATAGTAGCAATAACCGAGTTTCGATTGGAATCGCTCTCTAGCGATTATCGTAATAATGCAAGATTCCAACCGATATCGTGTCACCTTCTCTGACATCGCTTTGATCAATCGTCACCCTTTGTCTTGCATGTTCATGCTAGCTAACAATCAAACAATGTGAGACATTACATATTAAACTAGAGTAAATATCTTTTGATTGCTATAATTCTCTCTCTCTCTCTCTCTCTCTCCCCAGGGGGTTATTGTCTATCGTTATTACTGTTATCATCCTATCGACGTAATAAATTGAATTATTTTATTTGTCTCATTTGTGATAATCTACAGAAAATTTATATATTATATAGTAATATATATATATATATATATATATATATATATATATATATTATACTACACACTATAAAAAATATATACTATATATTATAAATACTATACTATATACTATACTACATACTATACTATCAATATAGTAACATATTAAATATATATAAATTATATTTTGTTCTCCTTTGTTTTTTATTTTAACATCGTAAAATATTTATTCGTTAACAATTTGGTTATTTATTTAAATAATAATTTATTATTATTCCTCTTCGCTCATTTGTCGTAACAACGTGAAGTATGACATAGACGTGCTGAGTATCTATATATATATATATATATATTTATAAATATAGTTTAAATTTTTTAAACACAATTTTTATTATTTTACGAAAATTATATCGTAAGTGATATATTAACATCATATTTTCTGTTTTTTTTTTTTTTTTTTTTTTTTTTTTTAATCTGAATGAAACATATATTTAAATATATATAACACTTACCCCAGTAAAAGTTTCCAACGACATTACAGCGAATCCTCCAGCAGTCAAAGCACATGGTCGACGTGATCTAAGCATGATCATGCTTACACCGTATTTTAATGCTTTACCTTTTCCCTCGTTTGGCATTAGATACCAACAAGAGTTATACACCGATTCTGAGAGTCTTGAACTTTGTACTATTATATCATTGCACGTCCAAGTGTATATTAACAACTGAGATAAACTACCGGTAAAGTAAATAGCAAATATGCATTTCCTTATCAACACTTCGGCAGCCTACAAATCAAAATTATCGATTTAATTTATAATTAAATTGTTAATGTTTAACTTAGTGGTCGGTTGAAGAGGAGAGCCTAACGTAAAAACATTTTCTTTTCTTTTTAAGTGAAAATCGTTAGATGTCTAATTAACATGGAATAAATTCAATCTTTAAAAATTTATTTTTTTATGTAAGATACTAAATATTATTCTAAAAATATGTATAACTAATTATAAAGTTAAAATTAAATTTTTTATCACATTATTTATATAAATATTACGTCTGTAGGTATGCAACTTTCCAGACACACTTGAAAATGTTGCTTGCGAGCCCCATCTGTTGGGACGGAATTTTTTTTCACCCCAAACTGGTTATACAGAAATGTATTATTGGTTGCCTATCTTTCGAGCAGAAAAAGATTCCGTCCCAATAGATGACGCTCGCAAGCAACATTTTCAAAGTTTGTCTAGAGGGTTGCATATATACTGACGCGCATTTTTATAATGATTAAATAAATAATTACAAAGAAAAGTATGAATAATATTATAATAATGTTATATAATAAATTATCCTATTTCTGATATTATGCACTCGTTTTATTCTCTCGAAACTTGTTTTTTTTTTCGAGGGTCTCACTTCTAACTTATGAGAGGTAGCTCGAGGCTCATAATTTTTAAACAAATTATTCTTAGAAAATATTTTTTTGTTATCACTTACTAAAAATTGAAAACCACCGAAACATATTACTAAACTGGACAACATTAATTGACCAAATAAAATGATGGTAAACACACGTTCCATTTCCTCGATGTAAGAAATCAATGCACGATGTTGCAATACACAATCCCTTAATTCGATCAATGCGTAATCAGCTGCTTTATCAATTGGTAATGATTTTTCATTGTTCATGGAATTGGTATACCTTTTACCGATCATTTCCAACCTGTGTGCTAAAATTTTGAACTGTGCAGCAACGTGTATGTTGAACGTACAAATGAAATTGTCGAAACAAAATGTACAAATTCCAGAATGAAATGTTGAAAGTGACTGAAATATTAAATATACAAATTGATATAAAATAAAATCAAATCAAATCAAATGAAACAAATGTTATTGTTGTTACCTGAATCGTATAAGTAATTTCATAATAGGGTGTAACTTTGACTGGTAAATCAACCCACAATTTAAAAGGCAACACACGATCCGTCTCATTTCTTCCAATATTTTCTACAAAATATCAAATGAATTTATATAAATCATTGAATTTAATATAATATACAATTAACAATTGACTTACCAACCAGAGGTGCAAAAATATAATTAAACGCAGCTAAATTAACGATCACGGTAAAGGTATATGTCATAAGAACACCACGTTTGTCATATTCGTCCAATATTTTGGCACTCGCGTTATCGTATTCAACTTTCCAAAAATTCTTTTCGGCGTAAGTAATTAATTTTAAAACAATATTACGATAATATATGAAATTACCAAATTTGACTAATATCATAATTAGTAACATTGTAGCACACAAATTATACGTCAATGCCTGCGAAATGAAATTTAATAAATAAAATCATTTTATTTAGTTACATTGATCACCAATAATGTTGAAGATAATCAAAGATATTGTATAAGACTGAAATTACAAATGACAAAGTACCTTCTTCACTTACGTAAAAATCACCTAGACAATGATAGAGGTCAGCGAACTCGACGCAAATTGCAAAAACTATTGCTAAAATTGCATAAATTAGGGCTATGTAAAGTAACATTTGTTCACGTTTCGTTTCCACCACCCAAAAGCCAACAAATTTCATGAAAATACGCGTGATTGTAACCGATAGATACCTGTCTTTCTTTAACATGTTCTATTTGTAGGATAATATCATCTATGACAAAGTCTTACAGAGAGTGTGTGTGAGAGAGAGAGAGAGAGGGAGTTTCCTAGTCCATTCTAAGTTCTAAGTCCTGTTTGCAGTCCCTAGACGAGATTGATGGACACTTATCCGGTAATATGCCATGGTGTAGCATGTAATCAAGTATCATTTTCCAACGATCAATCAGCATTTACTTCAACTACTTTCTAGTTTGTTCAAAATTTCTTTTAAATCATGTAACGTAAGTGGTTCTCAATTATTTACTTTTCTTCTTCTTCTTCTTTTTTCTTTTTTCTTTTTATTGGATTTTTCACAGTCTTACAGTAAACTATGGAGAGAGAAGTATTCGTGAAACTTATTGGTTAAAATAATTGGTGGTTTGTGTTGTGTCGTCAGTATTTGATTATTTGTTTCAAGTAAAATGATAGAAATAATATTTTGCGGTAAAATTTATAAAATATTCGCAAAAATTAATTTAACAATATCGACAGATAATTAATTAAATTTCTATATTGTTTATAAGAGGTAAGAATTGTAACAAATAGTCGATAATTTGAATAATTATTGAATTCTACTTTACTAACGTATAGTATTTACTAATATATTTGTTCAAAATAATAAGAAATATATTTATTATTATTTTTTGAAGAAAATCAGTTGTTAAAGTAACCTACATGTATAATTATTACTTTTTGAGTGAATAATTTATGCAACTTGTTATCAATGGAATTTTAAAACAAAAAATTATCTACCTATGTTACTTGAAAAATTTATTAACTACAGTTATTGTAGTTTTACAAAAGATATAATTTTCATACTGTTAGTTACCTGTTACGAGTACTATCACAGCCTACAGTTTCAAGAGACGGTAAACGATGGATAAGGAAGGGGTCTATCTAATTTGTTGATAGTAATATAAAATTATTTGTTATTATTTGTCGATAATTGTTGTTCATTTATTATGCCATATATTGATTTTATCTACTTGAAATTTCTATCTTACAAACTGACGATAATATTCTCGATTTATCTTACGAGTGAGTGATAATGAAGAAAGCTGTAAATTTATAATCAGTTTTCTGTTAAAATAATAAAAGTTATATTTACCGACTTGATAATGTAATGTTTACTATAGTTTACAAAACTTACGATAGTTTGATTTTCGATATTTTTTTTTTTTTTATCATAAATTCATTCAAAATTAA